CACACACACACACACACACACACACACACACACACACACACACACACACACACACACACACACACACACGAACGTCCGAGTCTTAGCGTAGTCAAGTGTCCGCGTAGCGAGTCGAGAGTCCAACGTACCATACAGTGTAGAGTAGGCTAGTGGAAGTCAAGAGCCTACACTGGAGTCAAGCATAGCCTAGCCTAGTCGAGAGTCAAGTCCAGCGTAGAGCAGTCTTGAGTCTAGTGCAGGACAGAGCAGGTTAGACTAGAGTCCAGCGTGGATAGAAAGAGTTCCAACGGCTTCGAGGCCGGGTAGAGAGAGTGGCAGGGTACGCAGAGCAACGACGTAGAGAGAGCACACGGAGTCTGGCACGAGCGAGAGAACAAGCGCACATGGTTGAGTATACTAGCGGCGGACAGCCGGTATGGGGAGGGCGCATTGTGTGCATTAGTCCGGTTCGAAGCAAGAACACACGACGGCCACAGCGCGTGCAAAAGCATGCGAAGGACCGCAAGCATCTTCCTTCTTCTCTTTTCTTGTTCTCCCTTTTCTTGTTCGTCCTTGAGATGCTAACACAACTCTCCTTTCTCGTTCTCCATTTTCTTGTCACTCCTTCCTCGTCCTCCGGTTTCTTGTCGCTCCTTTCTCCTTCTTCCTTTCGTATTCCCAGCCCGCAGAGTATAACCCCAGGCAGGTTTTCGCAACGCTGGGTCTACTACCGGTAGTCCTCCGTAGGACAGAAGCGGTAGTGCGAGGGGTGTGCAGTTTCTTTTTCGTTTTTTCTAAGATAGTAAAGATGAACTTGAGAGGCAAAAATTGTTCAAATGCCCCTGTGTCGGGCCTGGCTGTGTACTGGAGGGGCTGTGCAATACTTTCGCACCTGCCCCTATCCCGGGTAGGCATCTTCTCTGCGTGCCGCACAGCGACATCTCTCTCTCTCTCTCTCTGCCCCCCACGTAACCCGGCTCATTCCTCACCCACCTGCTGCCACATGGCAAGGAGTGCAATGTGAAGCACACCCCTTCCGGAGCAAATTGATGTAGCTCAGTGGTTAGAGCACCGGTTGGAAATGCGCATTGTGGTATGAGGTTGCGGGTTCAAATCCGCAGCCTTGCGCATGGACACCGGCAGGACGTTAGATTGACGCACGGCTGGACACACACCCCCTTGGGATGACGCAGGTTAGCTATTACAGACACTGCTTGCGCGCCACCCAAGGGGTAGCTCATGGTTGTTGTATGTTAGGACTGGGCGATGGTAGGGTATCCTGATGTTCTTGGTCTATGGGTGGTCACGCGACTGTTGGGTGGTTTGTACAGCCTGGTTTACTCGAGCCCAGCAGAGCACAGCTTCAGACTAGTTCACAGTATATGTCAGCAGGTTAGGTCATTTGCACGATTCACATGAGGTCCTGTGTTTGATACCAGATTATGACTTAGGGCTGGTCATCCTCCTAGTACGTAGTCAAGGATTGAGGCTGGCATAGTAATTCCTTAGTACGGTATGTCGGGGGTGTATACTGCACTTTACCACGGGGCCGGAACGGGCTCCAGGGACATACGAGGGAACGGAGAATTGCCTAGCTTTCACAGCTTATCATACAACACAGGGTTCTCCAGGCTCAATAGATACAGTCCATGATCCACAACTTCGGGTTGGTTATCCTCCTAGTACGTAGCTTAAGGGTTGAGCCTGGCATAGCAGTTCCTTAGTAGTATGGGATGTCGGGGGTGTCAGGAGATACTGCACCTTACTGCGGGGCCGGAACGGGCTCCAGGGATATACGAGGGAACAGAGGATCCCCAGCTCTCTCTATCAACGATTCTCCAGGGTCCATACACACAGTCCATGATTTAGTACGTAGCTTAGGGCTTGAGGCTGGCATAGCAGTTCCTTAGTACGGGATCTCGGGAGTGACCGCGGGGCTGGAACGGGCTCCAAGGATATACAATGGAACAAAGGATCCCCAGCCCTCTATCATCACTATCAACGATTCTCCAGGGTCAATACACGCAGTCCATGATGCAGTCCATGATTCACGACTTAGGGTTGGCTATCCTCCTAGTACGTAGCTTAGGGCTTGAGGCTGGCATAGCAGTTCCTTAGTACGGGATGTCGCGGGTT